CCGGCTATTTTTTGTTGCAGTTTGGCAGGGGCCGGGTTCTAACCCGCCACCCTTGGTAAACGGGGCCGGCGCCCTACCTATTAAACCACAGGCGCCGCCTGGTTTAGTATTTTCTTACTGTACTCTGCACTCCCACCCGCCCCACAACACCCCTGCCCTTAGTTCTGATCTTCCCCATGAGTTCTCTATCCTTCTCCCTCCCTCTATGCTTTGCTATTACGTTCCAGTTGTCCTTCCTTGCTTCTCTCTCATCTTTTTTTTTTAATTAAAACATTTTTTTCCTAATATTAAAAAATCATTCCAATCTTCCACTTCTCTAGTGCGCCTTTCTCTATGTCTTTGCTCCTCTCTATGCCTTTTCCTTTTCAGAGGTGTTGCATTAAAAGGAAATTTCCTTCTCTTATTCAGTCTGGACAGTAAGGTTTGAAAAGTCAAGCCCTTCCGGGGGGCCAGATATTCCTGCTCCAGCCCATTTGTCCCCCAAATGCGCCCTCGCTTCTGTCTCTCCTCCTTCTCTGTTCGGACGCTCCTCCCCTTTATCTCCTCAACCCCCTTTCTCCTTCAGCTTTCTATACTTTCTGTCCTCTTTTTGCCCCCTCAGTTTTCCCTTCACTCTTTAGCTCAGTGTCCTCTGAGCAGTCCCCCTGTGCAGTCTCCTTTCCTCTCCCTACTCTACCTCTCCGCAGCCCTGACTCCCCCGCCCACAGGTGCCCTTCCAGACCCCAACTTCCATTCAGTTCCCATCACCACACCCCATTTTCCCCTCCTAGGGGATTAAGGGAGGAGGGGGCTTGTGGAACAGGTAGAGGGAGCGCAATTCCTTGAGGGGAGGGAAAGAAAGGGGGAAAAAGCGAGGAGGGAAGGAGAGAGCGAGGGAGAGGGAGGCGGCGGCGAGGGGAGGGGCATCCTTATTCCCCAGCTGCACACCCCCCCCGCCCCGCAGCCACTGAGCCATAAATCAGGGCCGAGGCGGCTTGGCCAATAGTAGAGTGACTCGTAAATCGGCCTGTCAAGCTCAGCCAATGAGAGACGGCGTTAAATCAAGTTCTGTCAGCGCTTGGCCAATGAAAGGCCCTGGGCTGACCATAAATCTGCCTGTAAGAGACAGCGAAAGAGAGAGAGTGTGCAAACGAGCAAGAGCAGCGGGGCGGGGGACCGGGCGCGGGGAGCGGGGCCTGTAGGGAGGGAGAGAACGAGCTCAGGAAAAAAAAAAAAGGCGATAACAGAGGTACAAGAGATGAAGACAGCCTACAGGAGAGACGGACAGATGGGGAGAGACAAAGAGAAGCCGGGAGAGATAGCGTCAGAAAGTCAGCGATAGAGCTCAGCTCGGGCGGGAGACTGACAGAGATAAAGAGACAAAGCAAGACAGACACTGGCTCACACTCGTGAGCATACAGGGCCCCCCAAACCACACACACCTCCCCAAGACACGCGTGAACAATGCACCATCGGGGACCTAGTGTATAGACAAGAGAGAGAACGCCTGAAGAAAGCTTTGTTTCTCTTCCTTTTCTTTTCCTTCTTTCTGCCCTTACTGAAATTAGGAGCCAGAGGTGGATGTTTGGGCGGTGGAGGGCGAGAAAGCAAGAGGCCGCTTTCTTGCTAAGATCTGTCCTCTCTCTCTCATACACCAGGTTTCCTCTTCTGTCCTCTTGAGTCATTTTTTCCAACGTCCTCTGAGTAATTTTTTCCAGCAACTGATGATTGGGAAGTCCTTTCTGAGTCTAACCTCAGTCCCTTTTATAACTCCTTTCCAGTTGACAAAATTTTTGTATTGCCTTCGAAGAATATTAAAATAAATCCTTTTACAGCCCTTCAAAGACTTGTTGATTTTCAGATTCTTAGGTCTGAATACGAAGGACTGTTAGGGATCATCTGGTCACTTGATTTTAGTTTTAGAAAGGCAGCAGCCGTCCTGTAGTGGTTAGCTACATACTTACTAGCCCTCTGATCTTGGACAAATCATTTAACCTTGTGTGCTTCAATTTTCTCATTTGTAAGAAAGAGATTAGGCTCGGCGCCTGTGGTTCAACCGGCTAAGGCGCCAGCCACGTACACCTGAGGTGGCGGGTTCGAATCCCCAGCCCAGACCCACCAAACAACAATGACGGCTGCAACCAAAAAATGGCTGGGCGTTGTGGCAGGCGCCTGTGGTCCCAGCTACTTGGGAGGCGGAGGCAGG